CCCCCCCCCCGGTTTAGACTGCTGCCACTCATTGCCAGGTTGATAAATGGTAAAACAACTGCCATCGAGGATTGTATTACAGAGACCTGGTTCCGCCCTCCAGGTTTCTCTGTACAGCAGCAGGCTAGACTTGGGGGGCGGGAAGATGGGGTAGCGGTGGTCTATAGGGATTCCATCTCCCTGACCAGGTGCCTCATCCCACAATCCATGTGGTTTCAGTGTGTCTATCTGAGGGTGGGTTGCTGAGACAGAATAGGGATTCTGTTAGTGTACTGGTCACCCCGCTGCACTACAGTCTCCCTACTTGCGCTGACCGGGGTGGTCTCTGGTCTGGCATTGGAGTCCCAGCGGCTTATTGTGTAAGGGGACTACAACATTCATGCCAAGACCACCTTGTTAATATATTATGACTCTGTGGATGCAATATGCAAACAGACCAGGATATACAGATATGATTGCAAGTCAACATGAGAAAAAATGATACTAAAAACAGACACTTACTGTTTCACAAGTGAGACATCTTGTTTCATTTGTTAATGTTCCCTGAAATATTTCATGAACCCATGTTGGGTCTGGCAGACTGTTATTGTTTTCACTGTCAATACAGCCATTTGGCAGACGACCATTTTGCTTCTCCTGTTTTCTCTCTTCTTGTAAAATGTCTGCTACAGTATTCAACAGGTAGTTTAAAAACTCATGTGCATCTTGCTGCATGTAGTTGTCAAAGAGCTCTAAAAAAGATGAAATGGACTATTATATGACTGGACCAAAAGAAAATAAATAATACCAACTAATAGAGAACAAGATCTTTCAAAAGTAACAGTTGGGAAAGTTAAACTAATCTGGTGACCTCTCTCTGGGCACCTTGTCACCCACTATGAGAAATCGAGTACTGTTCCAGATACCAAGATTCTTTTATATTTAGTCTACCTTAAATTATGTGATTTTATTGTTGTATGTTTCTCACATATGGCAATGTGATCGCAAGATTTTCTTGACAAGATTTGTTCAAAGGATTTTGCCAGTGCCTTTCTTTGAGGCTGTTTGATTTGCCCAAGGCCATCAGTGGGTTTCATGACCAAGAGGGGATTTGAACCCTAGTCTCCAGAGTCAACATCTCATGCTTAAACTGCTGCACAATGTTGGCTCCTCCAATTATGGAATAGCTGTCTCTCAGAGACTCAATTGGTGCCAAAGCTTGTGATATTCCAGAGCCAAGTCAAAACATGGTTTTTATATTAAACTCTTTAATGCTTAACTGATTTTATCCAATATGCACATATTTTATGTTTTGCATTTTTTAAAATTAAAATATTTGAACTATTAAATGTTAAATAATTTAATATTTTTTTGATCTTTTAAAATTACTGTTGCTGTTTTTATTGCTGTAGCTGTTATTTATTGTCCTAAATTGATTCATTGTGTGCCACCTTTAGATCTTTGGGGATGAGGTGAGATGCCTTCTGCCTTGTGTTTGTAAGCAAATAATGATGGCTTCTGCAGTACTCAACTACTGGCTACCCTTGATACACATCTGACTACCACTCAATATTATGATAGTACTGTTCAGCAAATGACATAAAATGAAGAAACTGGCTGCAGAATATGCTAAAACAGACCTCTTGATCAAAGGGCAGTGATTTGAGAAAGCAAAATAGTAACAAATATTTTTATGATGATGATGATTATTACTATTATTATTAGTAGCTTTGGTACCTAACAGTGCTCGTGTTATTTGAAAAAGGCATTGTTTGTTTTGGGGTGTTAGGTAATACCATTTAGTTAATTAATAACACAATTTTTTTAGGAAAAAGCCAGAATGTGATTTCATTTATTTTGTCTGCTCCCATTTGAAAATACATAACGATGTGAGTGAACTATGATTCCCAGAATCGTGGGTCAATCATCCCCAAAACAGGCCTGTGTGCACAATTGGCCACGTTGGGTGTGTGTGCCAAGTTTTGTCCAGATCTGTTGTCAACTGGGTTCAGTGCTCTCTGGATAAGGGTGAACTACATTCCCAGGGCAATCACCCCCAAACCCAGTCAGTATTTACAGTTGGTCATGCTGGGTCTGTGTGCCAAGTGTGGTCCAGATCCATCGTCAGATGGGTTGAGTGCTCTCAGGATGCAGGTGAACTACACCTCCCAAAATCAAGGTCATTTTCCCTAAACCCCTGCAGTATGTTCAGCTGGGCATCTCTGTGCCAAGTTTGGTCCTGGTCCATTGTCGGACCCTTCCAGTCTGTTCAGTTGCTTATCAATTGCTCTGTGTTTGGTGTGCTATAGGAAAGGGTGAAGGGAGAGGCAGTAGGCAGGGTCATGAAAATTCCACACAAGGAACCCTGGGATGCCTGCCTGTGGTGGAGGAAACACATCAAATCTAGGATGAAATTTCTCCCCGAATGAAAGCATTCATCTGGGTAGTGGGCCGTAGTGTTAAGGAGGACAATGGCAGCGTGTGGGCTACATGTTCATGGCATTCGCTATAACCTGCAATGTCAGTTGAGGGAGTACCTTTGGAGGCTTCTCACCACTTGGAACTATAGCCTGTTTGTGGAAGTGGGAGGCTGTCTGTGTAAGTGGACACCTCCGCCACATACACACATACACATTTTTCACTTTTTTTATTTGTATAGATTCTTATTTCTTACCCGCCTCTCTCCAAGGCTAGAGGTAGGATACAACATAGAGTAAAATACAATACATAACTGAAAACATAAAACCCTTGAAAAGAAAGAAATTAAAAACACAAAACCTTTAAGATTAAAAGCACACATGAAAATAATTCATATCGGTAAAATAACAGTTTAAAATCGACAGTTTAAAACAAACGAGGTAGGCCTGCTAGAAGAGTAAATGTAGATATTATGACTCTGAAATATTGAATCTAGACAGCTTTCATTTAATGAGATACCCAGATTTACACAGATATCGGGAATGTGTGAGTGAGACAGAGAAAAAATGAGTGTATATGAGAAAAAGGATATTTTCTGAAAACAAAAGTGCAAATTCGCACCCAGATTCCTAACCCTGTTTAATCCAGTTTTTCTGTAGCTGTGCTCACCCATCAATTGCATGTCATCATTTATATGTTATGTAATGAAAAATTTACTCAAAAAGGAGCAAGGCTTTTGTATGTAAGAAGGCTGTATGAGCCTTTTAAAGTGCAATCATTTGAGTAATTACTCCCCAATATGCTATTTTCTACAATTGAGGGTTTTAATACAAATATAATTAGTTCATTTAAAATTCATGCAGATCTCTTTTTTATTCATTTGGATGCCCTTCTGACCACAAAAATTGGAAGTAATTGTCGAATTAATGGGATTCTTTATTTAAGCAATGACTCAAAGTGAAAGTGTTTTGTAAGCTCCCATTTGGATTACTCCAAAGTGTTGCACACAGAATTACCTTTGAAGACTGCTTGGGAATTCTAATCAGCAATCTAGCTGCTTTATTTTGTACTACCTGAGGCTGAGCAGCGTTCTCACTAGGCACATGATGGTACCTTAACTATATGTCTGCACAGTACACTTAAATTCAGGATTTGAAATTGATACAAATAAGGTTAGTGAGGGTTGAAATGGAATTACAATGCCTTTTGGAGTACAAGAGATAGACAAACATTTCATAGAAGCGGAATAAAATATTACCGTTCTCTTTTCGCAGTCTTGTTATGAACTTTTTAGGAGGTATCACTCCAACCTTCTTCTTCTGAGTGGCTATGCTATGAAAGAGATCAGCTAAGCAGGTGAGAAGGCTCTCTTTTTTCCTAGGCTGACTCTTGTATGCCAAGACTTTCTCTCGAAATGGACGACAAAAATAAAGTGCCTGAAGAACTGAATTGCAGTAGCATGTATTTCCAAACTAGAAAACAAGGAAATGGTCTATTAAATTAGGCTGGAAGGAAAATTAGTCTATGCAGAAAGGAGCACGAAACAAAGGCAAACTTTATTTGACCCTTTATTAATTTTTTTTTTTTTTTTTTTTTACAATAACAACAACACTTTATTTATATTTCGCCTTCTCACCCCAAAGGGGACTCAGGGCAGATCACAGCACACATACACAACAAACATTCAATCACACTTTATATAGACTGTACACAGACARACAGAACAAAAAGAAGGTGTATTGTTTCGATGCTCTGGAAGGTTGAGTCCAGCCACAGGAGGTGCTGTTGCTCCATCCTCTATGATGAAGAACCATCAGGACTTCCTTCTKCCTTTTGGTCACCCAGCATTTTCTGATCTTTCTTTTTATGGTGTTGTAAAACACCTCCCCCGCTTTTTAGCAGTACCTATTTTATCTAATTACAGCTAAAGTTGTTTTTGAACTGCTTAGGTAAACCATGAGCAGGGCAACCCAGGGTTTTGAACTTGCAACATTTTGGTTGGTAGATCTTATCATTGCTGGRCCCCCCGGCCCCCAATGTATTTGATATCCTTTCAAATATTTCAACATAACTATCAAGACACCTTTAAACCTTTCCCTGGAAAAATATGCCAAGCTTTATAGGGCATTTCCCACAGGGCATGGTTTCCATACCTTTTACCATTTTTGTCACTCTCTTTTAGAGACATTGCAGCTTGCAAAGACCCTTTATTAATTTTTGTGTAGTGTGGTATAATTTAGCCAACAGAGTGACCGATTAAAAAGTTTTTTTTTCTTAATGATTATTTGTGCATTCTCATCTTTCCTTTATAATGTTTTACACATAGAAAGCCCCAGCAACTAATCTTGTAACAAGGCCCTTTAGTGTCTCATTTTATGGAACACAATCACTCTATAATGAACCTTTGGAACAGTGGTTCTCAACCTGTGGGTTCCCAGATGTTTGGCCTTCAACTCTGAGAAATCCTAACAGCTGGTAAACTGGTTGGGATTTCTGGGAGTTGTAGGGCACAACACCTGGAGATCCACAGGTTGGGAACAACTGCTTCAGAATACTAGAGGGTAAGAAACACTGGGCAGGACTTTGAGAACAGCCAACAGAATGAATTTTAAAATTAAAAACGTTGGTCCTCTCAAAGTTCAATGAAGAAATAGAAAGTGATCCATTCCTCCATTCTTTCAGTTCAGTCATTTCCACAGATGAGCATCTGTCAATGCAACCAACATACAAGTCTAGCAACATTTGTAGAGAACACAGTAAAACTCCAGCTTTTCATTCACTGGGTTAAAAAAAACAAACAGCGAGTTATATTATCTCAGAAAGTTCGACCTGATTTCTTTGAGTAAGTACTACTTGAGTAAGTGGTATGTACAATTGTATTGCAATGTATATATATTTAAATAAAAGATATTACATTTTATGATGAGTGCACACATGTATCTATATGTTGCACATTCTCTCTTATAGCCTTAAAAAGACCCCCGAAACAGCCCAAAAATGTTAATAATAAAAATCACTCTGGAACATCCTGAGCAGAGGTTGTATTTTCTAAGGAAGGTACATGAAATAAAGGCAAATTTACTGTAATCTAATTTAATCAACAGAGGGAAAGATTTAGCAGTCAGTAAAAGGGCATCTGTTTATTGACATCTGTGTTTTTTGTGAAACACTTTTTAATGCTTAGATCCAGCAGCTAATGGGCATCTTCCAGCAAAAAAACCCCCTGGAATTAATAAAGTCACTGTTTGGGGAAGTATGTTTTAAAATCTCTATCAGGTATTCGACTAGTTTGCAATACATACAAAATACAAACACTATCAGATCCCAGTTATATAAATTCATTGTCAAGGATCTAGTATGTGTCCCTTAGAATGACAGTTTTAAAATGGATCACAGGCTCATTTGCGTCCTCTCTTCCACTTTTCAAAGAAGACTGACACTCAGTTTTTTTCGACAGACTTACTTACGATTTCTTCAATACAAATTTTCCAATGCTACCCATAGTTAACACAAATCAAGCTTGGTCTTAATCATCAAAAGAGAAGGTTGAGAGGAAACATGATCACCATGTTAAATATTTGAAAGGCTGTCATAAGGAAGAGGGAGCAGGCTTGTTTCCTGCTGCCTTGTAGGCTAGGACCCGGAGCAATGGGTTCAAATTACAGAAAGGAGATTCCACCTCAACTTTAGGAAAAACTTCTTGACCGTATGAGCTGTGTTCAACAGTGGAATGTGGTGGAAGCTATTTACTTGGAGGCTTTGATACAGAGGCTGGATCGCCATCTGTCACGGGTGCTTTAATTATGCTTTTTTTGCATGGCAGAAGGTTGGACTAGATGGTCCAAGTTGTCTCTTCCAACTCTATGATTCTATGAACATTTTCAAATTCACTTCCAACCTTGGTTTGGATAGGGACTTCCACTGAGTAGAGATAATTATGGTGTCAGTGCTGAATCAAGATTAAAGTCATTAAAGGAAAGTATAGAAAAATTATTGCAGGATAGAGAAGGAGATTAAATATAAGAGAGAGGAATGTAGGTTACTTAACTACGGCTAACAGGTCAACAGCACTGTTTCTACACCAGGTAAAGGTGACTGAGGTAACACCTTTAAGAAAGTGTAATCCATACAATCCACTTTATTTATAAAACAATAATATCCATATGTTGTTTTAATAGGACCACTTCCCAGTCAATAACACAAACTTAATGGGATGCCAGACTACTGATTACTTAATATAATACTTTCCTCCCCAAAACACCAACACAAAAATGAAAACAATTTTGGCATTAACCCAATTAACATGGCGGCTTTAATATTTTCCTCTTTTTAATAAGCTAAAGCAGTTCTTATCTTCAAGTTAACTCGGTTTACATTAATACTTTCATGGGGGTTTCTTAAACTTTGTTTCTGTAACACAGAGCTTTCAATTACCTTCTTGCTATTTTCTAGTGTATGTACAGTTTGGTATGTGAGGACACTGGGCAGGTTGGTGGAAGTTCACAAGCCTAATGAAAGGTACCAGATTTGGACATAGCTGACTTTCTCCTGAGGTTGTAAACTGCAGGAGAAGACTGATAAATATAGCTTTTTGTTCACTTTTACTCATATCAATAAGGAACTTCTCACAGACTTCTTAATTTCAGTTTTCTAGAATATTATCTGAAAGTACTAAATTCACACATCATTTAGAAACCGAACTCTGAACTTGTCATTCCAAAACATTTTGCAATGCTGAGCACTATTTAAATTGAGGATACTTTACAAGCTCTAAACACAGATAAAAATATATCTGTGAAAATAGCTATAGCACTCCCCAATTATATATGGAGTAGATTGTCCAATCTTGCATGGAACCAAGGAAATGGCAAACAACATGTTAGCAAATTTCTTCAATTTAGATCATTCATTCCAATGCTATCCTTCAAAGGAAGAAAAACATGCAACTTACATTTACTAAACCAAAATAGTGTTCGTTGTCTGGAAACTGTTCTGGACCAATTTCTTTCTCTAAGGCCGAGGCATTAGCGCCCTAGGATGACAAGAAATAAATATTTATTCATCTTTTGTGAGGCACATCTTACCTATGACAACGTAATAGCTTGCTAAACAACAACTAGAGATAGTTATTCTATAGCATATTTATAGACTTATGGTAATGTGTAGCTGATGCTAAACTTTTAAGACTTCAGGTAAAAGAAATTTTAAATTATGTTTAGCTATGATCATTATAAATTGGCCAAAATTCTGCCAAGAGGTAGGTTGTTTAAACAGCCCGAAGGCATGCTGTAGTGTTAATAAAATAATTTTTAAAATGTATGAGAATAAGGTTGGAAGATTGAAATCACAAAGAAGTGTGATATACAATAAGGTAAGTTATGTACATCATCATTAAATCACAAAACATAAAATACTTTTTCACCCACAGTTATCAGTGCATAAGGAAGACAGAATAAGAAAATTAGTTTAACCAAATGATATGACAACTGTTCCCTAACCCTGACAAATGCTTAAATGACTTAGTCCAGTAATTATTTGCCACATCCAAAAGAGCTAAACTTGGACATTAAGGATAAACAAACATGCTTTTGGTGTTATTTTAATCAAAATGATTAACCCATTGCATTAAAACTAGTTGTGTCACAGCATTTATTCCATAAACGGGGGTAGGGGACCAGAGGCACATGTGATGGTACTGGATGACAATTCTCATCATTTCTTACAACAGACTATGCCAGTTGAAAATGATGGTATTTGAAGTCCAACATCATCTAGCAGGCCACAGATAATCTATTCCTATTTTAAAGTATTATACTGTTGTAAAGAGTGATATGGAGGGGACGAAGTGCAAACGCATTTCTCAATCCAAGTCATTTTAGATTTATGACACTACAATTCCCACTAACCTTCACAATTAACTGTTCTGACAGATTGACATGCAGCCTGAATGTCAACATTGGGCAAATCTGCTGCAATACAAGCCCCAAACCTACCCTATACAAGGTGTGTGAATTCATGTGCTTTCAAGTTGCCTGCTGACATATGGCAATATTATGAATTTAATAGGATTTTCTTAGACAAGGAGTACTCAGAGATGCTCTTGCCTGTTACTTCCTCTGAAATATAGCCTACAGTATCTGGTATTTGTTGTTATTTCTTGTCCTCATGTGTTATTTACAATGCACTAACAAGTACTTTCCAGACTACCTGATGTGGGAGAACAGCAATTATTTTCTCTAATATGTAGTGGTCTTCTATCCAACTACTAACCAAAACCAGATATGATCTGGTACCTTTAGGTTATTCAAGCCCCTATATACATATACATATCATATGATTCTATTCTTCCAATGATCACAACTGAACTAGAAGTCTTGAAAGTAGCAGGGCTCTCATTAAACATAGGCTTAAACAATTGCCAGATCCAAATTTGAAGAAGAATTGCAGCCTTTTATTGACTATTTAAAAGAAGAAAAGAAAATGAAAATACTGGGTTTTCTATTGTTCTGAGGGAAAATTAGTAGTACAGGAATGTAGGAATAACAAGAAAGGGAAAAAATGGAGAAGTCAGTGACAAGAATAACAGGATCCCCAATCATATCCAAGGGATCATGGAAAGTTAATCTACCAGAGATAAGACGTTTTATGACAAAAGTAATAGATTTTTTTTATTATGAAGAGGACAACAGATACATGGTAGAAAGCATTAGTTAGGGCTTTCTATTTTCCATTGCTCAGCTTTTCTATCTCCCACTGTATATCCACTTTTCTATCCTTCTGTTTTAGATTAGAAAAGAAATATTATTTTTATTATTTCTCTTTTCTTTTTGTTTTTAACACCATAGAAACCTTTTAAATATTAGACAGCAATGAAAAAAGACAAAAATGTAAATAGTTAAAACTGCCCCTGTTCTATAGTCACTCTTGTGCCCCTCCCCATTCATCATATAATTACAATAAAAATTATATGGTTTCCTGAGGAATCTTGGGGTTCTTCCTGCCATGGAACCTGGTGATCCTGTTGACGCCTTGGTCGATTTTTACAACAAGGAGATGACCAGGGCGATAAATACGATTGCTCCCGAACGCCCCATCTCGCTGCGTCATGACAGGCCGTCTCCTTGGTTTACCGGGGAGTTGGTTGTGATGAAGCACACGAGAAGGGGGCTAGAGCGCAAGTGGAGGAAATCTCGGGACGTGTCTGATCAAGCACGGGCTAAGGCCTCTCTTAAGGCATACTCCGTGGCTATACGGGCGGCCAGGGAATCTTTCACGACCGCCCGGATAGCGTCTGCAACAAATAGGTCATCAGAGCTGTTTCGGGTTGTTGGGGAGCTCCTTCATCCACCTGCGGTGGAGGAGACCCCTGACGACCCAGCAGCTCGGTGTTGCGATTTCGCACACCACTTTGCAGGCAAGGTTGCCCAGATACGTCTTGAGCTTGACTCCAATTCTATCGCAGTGCCAGGAGAGGTGACCGAGGCATCTGCTTGTCCTAGTTTGTGGGATTCTTTTCGGCTTGTTCTTCCTGAGACCGTGGGGGAGGTCCTTGGGGCGGTGAGGGCGACCACCTCGGCTCTTGACCCTTGCCCATCCTGGCTTATTAAATCTGCCAAGGAGGGGTTGGTTGATTGGTTTGTGTTGATCATCAATGCATCGTTGGAGCAAGGGATTTTTCCATCCAGCTTGAAACAGGCTGTGGTTCGTCCACTCCTGAAGAAGCCATCCCTTGACTCTGCGGTGCTGAACAATTACAGACCGATTTCCAACCTCCCTTTCTTGGGTAAGGTGCTGGAGCGGGTGGTTGCCCTCCAGCTCCAGAGCTTCCTGGATGACATCAATTACCTGGATCGGGCACAGTCTGGTTTCAGGCCTGGTCATGGCACCGAGACAGCCTTGGTCGCCTTGGTGGATGACCTCCGTAGAGGACTGGACCGGGGGAGTGTAACCCTGCTGGTCCTCTTGGACATCTCAGCGGCTTTCGATACTATCGATCATGGTATCCTTCTGGGTCGGCTCTCTGGGATGGGCCTTGGGGGCATGGTTCTGTCGTGGCTCCGGTCCTTCCTGGAGGGACGAACCCAGATGGTGAAGCTGGGAGACGCCTGCTCGGACCCCTGGCCTTTGACCTGTGGGGTCCCGCAAGGCTCTATTCTGTCTCCCATGCTCTTTAACATCTACATGAAACCGCTGGGAGAGGTCATCCGGAGTTTTGGAGTTGGGTGCCATCTCTACGCAGATGACGCACAACTCTACTACTCTTTTCCACCTAATTCCAAGGAGGCCTCTCGGGTGCTAGACGAGTGCCTGGCCGCTGTGTCTATCTGGATGAGGACGAACAAGCTGAAGATCAATCCCGACAAGACAGAGGTCCTCCTGGTTGATCGCAAACCAGACCGGGGTATAGGGTGGCAACCTGTGTTGGACGGGGTTACACTCCCCCTGAAGCCACAGGTCCGCAGCTTGGGAGTCCTCCTGGATTCATCGCTTACGCTTGAGGCTCAGGCGTCGGCGGTGGCCGGGGGGGCTTTTGCACAACTGAGACTTGTGCGCCAGCTGCGCCCGTACCTCGCGAAGGCTGATCTGGCCGGGGTGGTCCATGCCTTAGTCACCTCTAGACTGGACTACTGCAATGCGCTCTACGTAGGGCTGCCCTTGAAAACGGCTCGGAAATTCCAACTGGTCCAACGGGCAGCAGCTAGGATGCTAACGGGGGCCCCTTACAGAGAGAGGTCAACCCTCCTGTTCAAGGAGCTCCACTGGCTGCCGTTTATTTTCCGAGCCCAATTTAAGGTGCAGGTGCTTACCTACAAAGCCCTGAACGGTTTGGGACCATCCTACCTACGAGACCGCATCACAGTCTACGAACCCACACGCTCGCTCCGGTCATCAGGAGAGGCCCTGCTCGTGATCCCACCCGCCTCGCAGGCGCGTCTGGTGGGGACGCGGGACAGGGCCTTCTCTGTGGTGGCCCCCCGCCTCTGGAATGCCCTCCCGAAAGATCTCAGACAGGCCCCCACCTTGGCGGTTTTTAGAAAAAACCTGAAAACCTGGCTATTCCAACGTGCCTTCTCAGATTAGGAACCCTACTATTAAAGCCCAGAAGCACTTTAGTAGAGTCAAGACCACTCTCAACGCACACCGCACTTATACTTTAATCTCATATCCCCGACACTTTTTTCAGCACTTTTAACCCTGTACCCCACTTCAGCCGGCTCAGTTTTTAATATGTCTCGTTGTATTGTTTATTGCCACTGTTCTCTGCTTTAACTGTTTTATTTGCTATGTTTGTATTGTTGTATTGTTGTATTGTGTTGTGATGGGCTCCGGCCTGTTGTAAGCCGCATCGAATCCCTTTGGGAGATGCTAGCGGGGTACAAATAAAGTTTAATAATAATAAAAATAATAATAATAATATGGGGAAAAAGAGTACAGCAGGAAGATTATTAATTTTATGAAAAATCTGACCTACTACAATGTGCTTTGAAGGAAGAACTTCTATCTAAGAGTTGATCAGGCATGATGTGGAAAGGCAAGGACTGAAAATGATATTTCTTTCACTTGCAACTAATGAAAATCAGTACGCATGTGCTCATGTATATGTCTTTAAATCGCTTATGTTACTTTGCTTGCTACCATTTTCCAGACTGATGTGGTAAATAGTGCACTGAACAATTTAGGAAACATTTGAATGATGCATGAACCAACAACTTAACACATCCTTACAGAAAAATGAGGTTTCTTTATAGACAAACATTCACATCTAAACAAAGCACACAGTAAAATTAACACCATATTTGAAAATTCTGATCCCTGCATGTTATTCACCAGCCTAAAGAAAGCATTTTACAATGTGACCCATCCATGGTTCAACAGCCATCAGCTACTTGATCACTGTGTGTACCACAGGCACAGTTACAAATGCTACTGGATTCTTGACTATAACCTTTGCTTAGCTTTTTTTTTTTTTTTGGCATTCCAGTACTGAAATAGGAAGAAGTCATGCAAATGACTGTTTATTAACTGTATTTT